GGGGGAGGAGATGTAATTCTTCATGCTATGGACACTCTGCACCTTAGTCAGTTGAGATGTCGTTTCTCAGGACTCCATAAACTTCCTCAGTTGATCTTTTGCGTGTTCTACCTCTTCACAATAAATTCTTGAAATATTTGCGAACATTATGACACCTAAAACCCGTTTCTCGGTCTAAATGAAAGAAGCAATTTATTTTTTTTGCTGATTGTACGGTTTCTAGTTAGATGGGCCTGCGTCTAAATAAAGGTACGGCTCTGCAACGGTCTGTCGAATGAAAAGATGGGTTTATGGATAGGAGTAAAGACTCGATGGGAAATTTGAGTTTTTACGATACGCACGCCGCGTATTGAATATTGTAACAACAGGCAAGTTTGATAGAAAGAGAGGCAGAGGCAGACAGAGGGAAAAGATACTGGACACGTTGACAACATGGCTGGGAATAGCAAGAACAACAGACACCATTGCTGCAACGCGAGACAGAGTGAAGTGGAGGTCCATGATCGCCCACGCCAGTCGACAAGACACCTCTCATTTACTCACTCACTCACTCTCTCTCTCCCCCCCCCCCCAATCTATCTATCTCTGAGCGCGGGTTTGAATAATTTCATAATTAGTATGTCTTTGTTTATAATGATTACAAAGAAAGCTGTTTCTTCTCTTTGAATAAATTGTACTGGGTTTGATCACACGCAATAAACTAATTCTTCAAGTAAAAGATGAGTTCTTTCCCTTAGTCCTTGTTGCTTTGTCGCTTGATCGGTTGTTTGTATGGTCTTTGTTGTCTTTCTTGGATTTGTAGAAACAATAAATGTAGACCTGTACAACATAATGTAGCTTTCGTGCAATGGCTATTTATTCTGTAGAAATACAAGACTATCATCATCATCATCATCATCATCATCATCATCATCATCATCATCATCATCATCAATGCCTTTCACCCCTGGCAGGGTATAGGCCACATACAAGCTCCTTCCATTTCTCTCTATCCTGGGCCATCCTTCCAAGCTCGTTCCAAGTGAGCTTCATCTCCCTCATGTCCCTTTCCACACATCTCCTCCATGTTTCCCGTGGCCTACCCCTGCCTCGTGCTCCCTGTGGGTTCCATAGAAGTAGAAATAGGACAAAGAAAGTGGCGTTGGATGGGATACACCTTCAGAAAGCCCAGCGGAAACATCACAAGACAGTCACTGCAATGGAACAAGACTGTCGCTGGTAGTGAAAGTCTCGCACCAACAATCAGAATGTCTTCTCATCAGACAAAATAAAACAATATCTCCCCACTAGGGAATCGAACTCAGATTCCCTTTTTTATTGTAGAGAGTTTTACGGCGCTCGCAACTGCATAAGGGGAGGATGTCAACAGAGAAGTCCTTACAGGGAATCAATCAGACTTACTCTGCTCACCTCTCTAGCTTCAACAGCACAAAGTCTGCTTCGACTACCAAGGCACCCCGGAAATAGCAGTTCACAAGAGAGTGACAAACATACAAAAGAAGCACAGGAAAATGTCAATAGAATAAGGATCAGGAATGAAAAAGCAGCAGTTCCCTGTTGTAGTTCAGGCACAGTTATGAGCGTGACATGAGTCAGCCCATTTACAATTCTACTATGCTCGAACGAGAAATGTCCCCCCTTTGGGAATGGCGTAAAGACAGCACAGGGATTCCCTCTGCGCCACAGCGAGGAGCCCAACTCTTACGCCACATACGCCGATGTTTCCTGCCCGCGGAGTGACACAAGTACTTCCGGGTTGTCTCAACTCCTGGCTCATCTATTCTATGGTCTGGGCGACAACAACAACAACAATAGCAACAACAACAACAATAGCAAAAATAATAATAATAACAAAATTAATAATAATAATGATAATGATAATAATAATGGTAATAAAGAT